TTAGGCCACATGTGAAATTAAGTGCTAAAAAAAATTTAAAAAATCAAATAGATCAATTTTTGAATTTCTTAAACTTTTCAAATAGTCATCTTCTTCATATTTGGTCACAAATTGAGCACTAGATTCATACCCATTAGATCAAATTCTTCTTGATTTAACTTGTAAATTCAACTACAAGTTCACCAACACAAACTCAATGAACCCCAATCAAAAGTTTTAATTAATTTTACAAATTCACAAGACCAATTTATTATTTTTTAAACTTTTTCAAGTTTATCAATGGAGTTTTAAAATTTTCAATAGTCACAATCATCCTTCACATTATTCACATCTCCTCGTTGAAACCATCAAATAAAAGAATGATACTAATATTTTTCAAACCTAAAAAATGAAAATTTCAGAAGAAGTTGAGGCTACTGATTTGTATATAAAAGAAAAAAAGAAGAGGCGGAGAAGAGTGAATGTGGGGCAGGAGAAAGAAGAATGGGAGGGAGAAAGAAGAAAGTTGAGGGTTGTGGTGAGGGGTAGAGGAGAGAGGGCTGGTGGAGAAGAAGAAAGGGTGGGTGTGGGTAAAGGAGGGTTGAAGAAGATGAATCTTATTTTTTAATTTTGTTAAAAAAAATTTAAAAAGTAAAATATTATTTTAACTCACTTCAAGCGCGTGTAATCACGCATATTTCCAACTCACAAATATTAATGTCACATAAGCTCGGTCAATGGTAAGAAGGGTTTAAAATATTGTGTTCTAGTGAGTTTAAGGGTTTGGTTGGCAAAGTGATGCGTAGGAGGGTCCAACTGACAAACGAAGCCAAGTACAGGGGTCTCCCAGCAGGTCATTCCGCCTTATTAAATTAAATGGATTGAGAATGTAGTACTGTAGGGGGGCTTCTATTAAATGGTTAAGTATATAGACCCTTTTTAAAAAAAAAAAAAACTAATAGGAACAATTTTAGAAATATATAATTACCTAACTTAGCTTATTGCAATTAAAATTATAGCCCAAAAATGTTTATTTTTTATGTAAGACAAGAATGAAACTTTTTTTGTTAGGCAGAAAAATAATGTAGCTAATATGTCTACTACAAAACTAGTACCACTATCTAATATACTAGCAATAATGCAATCACTTCTGATATAATGATGATATGATATAAATATATATTTTCTTTGTTTACTAAAAAAAGAACTACCTATTTTCCCGCTAAATTTTTCACTATAAATTATTTAGTGGCTATTCTCATAGATATTTCAAGAGAAAGTTTTATAATTGACATATATAAGACGAATTATTATTAGTTATGTCCTTATTTTTTATCTTTCAAGTTTTAACATTAAACAATTACATGATGTAACATTTTGTTAAATAAAAAAAAAGTAATAAAATGAAATCTAAATCAACAAACAAATTAAAAATAGGCGTAAAATAAGGAGAGTCATAACAAAAAAATATATTTGTTTTCCTTGTTTAGCTCAAACAGTTCTCTCCCCTGTTAATTGTTTTTCAAAACATACTTTTTTTACTCAATATTCGTCTCTCTCTCATCTCAAAACAGTAGTCATCACTGTCTTCTCTATTGATTTTTTTTTCTTCGTATTCGTTTTCGTTTTATATCGTTATAAATTTGGTATACTTTTTATATAAAAAGTGTTTACTTTTCACATGAGTTTTATATAGAAATTTGCATATAACCGCAATGAAATTGATATAATGTTAGTTTATAATTAAAGAATATTTACAATTAACTTGTTTGAATTTAATACCCTTCTTAGTATGAATCTTGTATGAACCAGTGTTTACTCTTGGTATGAAATTAGTATAGATATTGGCTGCAATTGGTATACTATTTATATAACAAAACACAATTACTATTTACAATTGGATTGGAATTGATATTCTTTTGGTATGAATCAGGTAACAACTAGTATTTAAATTTGACATGAAATTGATATAGAATTATACATAATAATGATAAGATATTGGTATACTGTTAATTCCCATTAAATAATATTTACATAATAATGGTATGACGTTGTTATATTCACTCTTGGTATGAAATTGGCATAGATATCGGCAAAAAACTTCTATGCAATTGGTGTACTATTTAACACCATTTTCCTTTTCTTTTTTTGCCCCTTTTGATTTGGAGAAGTGAATATTTTCTTTGATTCTTGTTTCTTCTCATTCGCTGGGTTTTGTTTTTTCTTGGAAGGGGTTATACTCTTTATCGTCGAGTTGCATATCCATCTTGGGCGGTGGAGTTTGAGTTAAAATATTAAAACTTGGAGGCTCTATTTCAACATTAGATACATCCTTTACAAATCTCGAACTCTTTTTAGGTGTATGATAAATTTTTTGATTCTTCAACATGTTTGTTGTGAACCGAACTTTCTGATTTTTGGAGTGTGTACCAGATTTGCAAGATTTTGTTTGACTGAAGAAGAACAATGAAGAAGGTGAAAGAGAGAGTAATGGTGGGTGGAAATAGAAACGTGGGTATGTGGGAGTGGGGATGAGGGTGGGGTGTGATAAGTTAAGAAAATTCCTTGAAAGGTGTAATAGATAATTAATTCTCTCTCATTAATTTTATTTTTCTCTCACCTATTAATTACAATAACATTATATATTATAAATTAATTAAAATGTAATTAATTAAATTAAAACTGATCTGTTAATATTTGTAATTAAAACTTTATAAGTAGTAAGTAATAAAAAAAAAGTAGATGTAAAGGTTGTAATATTAACCCTTAAATATATGTGTGAGGTAATTTTTTCATATTTTAATTGAATCGGTACAAAATGAAAAAAAATAGTAATTGTTTCATATGGAAAAATTAGGAAGCTTCCCACTATTTCACTGTGAATCTGTTTCTCCCATGCATTTTTCCAGTGAGATGATTCAATAAGAAATGAATAGAAAAATCATGTTTTATAGCACAAATTTCTTAATAATTCACGATGAGAAATCCTTTATTTCGAATAGTGCCCACAATGTTGTCATTTTGTAAAGCCATCTGGCCACTTTACAAAACCTCTAAGGCATTATAAATAGGAATGGAGTCATCATGCTTCAGTGTATAATTGGTAAGTTGAAGAAAGTTTTAATTTGCAACTTGGCAGTAGAGACAATATTATTATAAGGTATGCCCTATGTATATATATTTTATTTTATTTTTTATCATTTCATGTAACACTTTAAATTTGCAGAGAAGTAGCTTAATAAGTGAACTACTATTAATTTTTCTTCTTAAAAAGTTACCAGTAGTAATTAGTATTGAGTTTATACAAAATTCCTATATATAGGGTATAATAATCCTAATTAATTAATAGTAGTGGAGACAATCTTAAACTAAAATAAGTAATAAGCTATATGTTAATGAAACTTTTGCCTCTATGGTTTTGGTGTAATAGCATAACTCATGATGTGTGAATTAATGATATGTACTATATCTGAGGTGAAACTTGCTCATTCCTATTTGTAGATTATCTAGAAAAGAGTTGATGGAACTTTGAGCTAGGGTTGCATCATGTTGATCATTCCATTGACAAATTTAGAAATTTTGTCAAGGGTGTTTAAGATTCAATACGTATATATAAAAAAGAATTTTATATGTATTAAAAGATTTAATACTTTTCTTTAAACAAAGTATAATATCTCTTGATAAAAAATGTTTAACTGGTCACCCTTTGATCCATGTAGCTTTGCCACTGGCTGACCCTGACTCATGGAGTTGTGCACACAAACTGTTGCAACAGATCATGAGGTTATAATTACACGTCGCTCTGGAAGTCATCATCCTACTATATGGGGTGACCATTTTCTTGCCTATGTTGATCTTCCGGTAAATAAATATTTTTATATCATCAATATATATATATACAAAACAAGTTCATATGATGACTAATGTATTAATTCCCAAATAGGGAGAAAATGAAGGGGAAGAGAAAGAACATGAAGACCTAAAAGAAGAAGTGAGAAAGATGTTAGTGATGGCTCCTTCAAATTCTTTGGAAAAACTTGAACTAATCAACACAATTCAATGTCTTGGTTTAGCTTATCATTTTGAAAGTGAGATTGATGAATCATTGAGTTACATGTACACTCATTATGAAGAACATTGGATTGGTGATCTTCATGCTATTGCTCTATGCTTTCGATTACTTAGGCAACAAGGTCATTATGTCTCATGTGGTAAGTATCATTCAAATTTAGAAAAAAAATCAATTTTTTCTTTCAACCTCACCATCCGACCCCGCCTTGAGACCCAAGATTCAACTTGAACTCATGACATGCCACCCGATCTCAACTCAAGATTGGACTCGACTCTTGGGTCAAGGTCGGGGTCAGGATTTGGGTTACAGATTGAGGTCAGGATCTAGAGTTGAGTTCCAGATTGAGGTCAAATCTAGGGTCTCGAGTCAAGTTTGGTAGTGGGAAGTTCATGATATTGGGTTGATGTCACGAGCAGGGAGTCGGGTCTTGGGACTCGACTTTCAACCCTGACCAGGGCCTGACATCAACTCTTGAACTTGGTCTGTGCCTAACTCCTAACCCACAATCCCAACCCAAGATTTGACTCCTGACCCCTTATCTAGACCCGGGATCCAACTCAGGACCCAACTCCTACCTCGACTAAGACCTGATCGTGACGCACACTCGAAGTTTGCATCCTTGCTAAAGGGTGGGGATTCAAGTCTGGTATCATAGTATTTGCTAATATTATACCTAAATGCTTTTGGGATAATATGTATTTTCTTCTTACTAACCAAACACCAGAAGACGACCACTTATAATTAGGACCTTTTTTCCTTGCACATAATATATATATATAATTTGAAGCAGATGCATTTAAGAAGTTCACTACTCACCAAGGAAATTTCAAGGAAGAATTGGTTAAGGATGTGCAAGGAATGTTGAGTTTATATGAGGCAGCACAATTCAGAGTACATGAAGAACAAATTCTTGATGAAGCACTAAATTTCACCATTACTCAATTGAAGCTAATTTTGCCTAAATTGATCAACTCCCAACTTGCACAACAAATCACTAATGCCCTCAAGTTTCCAATTAAAGATGGCATTGTGAGGGTAGAAACAAGAAAATACATATCATTTTACCAACAAAATCAAAATCACAATCAAGTCTTACTAAACTTTGCCAAATTAGACTTCAACATCTTGCAAACATTGCATAAAAAAGAGCTATTTGATATCACAAGGTAACTAGTCATTCACATATATATACATCTTAATTAACCTTTATATTATGTTCCAACTAAAAAAAAACACAACTTTTTTGTAGGTGGTGGAAAGAATTGGAAATAGTGAACACATCACCTTATGTAAGAGACAGATTGGTAGAGGCTTACTTTTGGAGTTTAGGTGTCCACTTTGAGCCTCAAACAAGTGTTACAAGGAAAATATTAACAAAAGTTTCATTCCTCCTTTCTATTATTGATGACACATATGATATTTATGGGACACTAGATGAACTTACTCTATTCACTGAGGCAATTGAGAGGTAGTAATACTTATTTTTGTGTATTGATATCTTACAATATTTTTATAATTATTTTTTATATATATATGTAGGTGGAATATTAATGCTTCAGAAGAGTTACCATCATATATGAAGATTATTTACCAATATCTTTTAGATGTTTACAATGACATTGAGAAAGAGTTGGCAAATGAGAACAAGTCATTTCTAGTCAACTATTCCATAAATGAGGTACTTATAAATAAAGTAGCAAATAATATCTACTTGAATGAATTTTCATTATCTACATTGTTCTATTTAAGCTTATCTCATTCTAACTTTTTTATACATTTTTTGGAGAATTTTACTGTAGCAAGTTTCACTAATTTTTATTTTTTTTTCAGATGAAAAAGGTGGTGAAGGCTTACTTTCAAGAGGCAAAATGGTATTATGGGAAGAAAGTACCAAGAATGAAACAATATATGAAGAATGGAATTCCAACAAGTGGTTACCTATTGCTAGCAACTAATTCTTGGTTAGGCATGGGAGAGATAGCAACTAAAGATGCATTTGATTGGTTAAGAACTGAACCTCCCATGCTTGTTGCATCTTGTATCATTGCAAGATTACTCAATGATCTTTTATCACATGAGGTATGTTTATATATACTTCCTCTATCTCAATTTATGTGATGTTATTTGACTTGACACGATAATAGATGTTTATTTGATTAATTTTGTATGTTTATATGATTAGGAAGAGCAAAAAAGAGGAGATGCAGCTTCTGGTGTTGAATGTTATATGAAAGAATATGGTGTTACAAAGGAAGAAGCACACACAAAAATAAGAAAAATAATAGAAAATTATTGGAAGGATTTGAATGAAGAATACTTCAAAGTGGATGTGGCTATTATACCAAGAGTTCTGCTCATGCCTATAATTAATCTTACAAGAGTATCTGAGTTCATTTATAAAGATGAAGATGCTTATACTTTCTCCAAAAATAACTTGAAAGACACCATCTCTAAGATACTAGTTGATCCTATTATATAGACTGATATGAACTTCAATTAAGGGTTGTTTAGTTACTTGTATTAGTAGTATAATAAATAAATAAATACATATTTCATTGTTTAATTTCAGAATAATAGACAGGTGTTTGGTTTCTATGTTAGCAAGATCCACATTAATTATATGGCAATTCCCGTTGAAACTAAATAGAATGACAATTTTGTTATATCACTATTGAAATGCTTATAAATATATTCATTCTGCACTCACACACATCAATACTTGCAAGGCATCATTTACCGTCCTATCACTACTAGAAATAGAGGTTTTTCTCACCACAAATCAATAGGAAATTTATATTATAAAACATGAATTTTTCACTCATTTCCCACCGAACTAGTTCACTGGGAAAACGCACGCAAGGAAACAAATCAATTCCAAACTTCACAAGATGAACAGAAATAGAAGCCCAAGAAAATTTAAGAGAGATAAACAATCTTCTCTTATTCATTTTTTCAGCATGCCGTGATTAAGCCACATATATTACATTAAGAAAAAAGGCCAAAGGTGTTGAGCAAAAAAAACATTCCTACCAGATAAGACTATACTCATAACAAATTCTAACAAATCCCTCCCTCTTCATTAACCAAAAAGCTGCCTCCAAAGTTTCAACTTCTTTTTACTAATGAAGGACATACAAATTACAAACAATGGAAAATCAGCTTGCTCTTAACTCTGATCCACATCATTCAACAAGATGTCTTACCAGCTGCAACCATTGACTCGTCATCGAATTTGTCACTCATTCCCAGAAATCAATCTCAATCTAAAATGAAAGAACAAGAGATGTCTTACATCAGATATGCACTAAGATATACATCAGATGTCTTAGTGCTAAGAACTTACCCTTGTAGGTACGCTAATCAATCGACTCTGTCTCAGATATTCGTGAGCTAGGAAGACTGCAGACGTTTCACTTCCTCCTCAATTCTTTGCAACCATCTAAATCCAAGGTCCGATCCTGCTTTTGCAGCAATTTCAAATTGTTCTCTGGCCAGCTCAATCGGATTAAGCTCAGCATCAACTCCGTTCCTCCTTGATATTCTGCTTGATGACTCCCTCTTCACATAAAATTTCGTTATTGATTCTGGAAGTTCCACACCTGAATGATGCCACATGAAATAGAGAATCGGGAAAAAGCTCGTAACGTATTCCAATCAAGTGTATTGCATTATGTAAACTTAAGCAGGAATCCTATTAAGTTAACAACACTAACAACAACATACCCAGTGTAATCCCACTATTAAGGGCTTAGGGAGGGTAGTGTGAACGCAGACCTTACCCCTACCTTGTGCGGGTAGAGAGGTTGTTTCCGATAGACAAAAACAAGATGGAAGTCGCACCCAGCTAAGTTTATAACGAGAGGGGATAGTCTCACTGTTAGATGTTATAGAATCCTTGTAAGTAGAGCAAGGACACACTTGTCCTTTTTTTACTGTAAATATGGCTTCCGGCACTGCTTCTGTGCTGATGATATATGCAAACAGTTACCTTTCTCAAAAAAGCTAACAAGGGGGGACAAACTACCTGTGAGTAAAAGGGATCCATACGCTATAGCTGCTCCAGCATGACCCTGCATTCAAGCAAAGAAAATTAGGTGGGGATAATCGTAGATAGGCTCTTGACTTATTTGCTAGTAAAACAATTTTCTATGAGGTGGAGCCAAATTACACCAATCACAGTTTCTTAACGCGATATGCTTCCCAAAATGTAATACATAGTTCGATCTGTATGTACTGATTAGTTGCATTCAACAAGCAGTAAAAATGCCTGTACCTTCTGAGATGCTCTATGGAAACACCACAAAGCAGAGCCAACATCCTTTTTCACGCAATCCCCAGTAAGATACACAGCACCTAAGAGGTAAAGTGCACCTGGATGCAACTGAAAAAAAGAACAATTTTCCCAAGAAATTTAGGACATTCATGCAACCAAGAATAACTTCAACGTCACTAATAAAATACACACCTGGTCAACAGCTTTCTCCAAGTAGTAAAATGCTTGCTGATCTGATTGCACATACTCGTTCTGTGAAGACCATCCAATATATAAAAACAGTCAAAATCTTTAAAGAATGTCTTTAAGGCAGAACAATAGAACAGGGGGAACTCAATAAGGTAGTCGATTCTGCACTCCTAAACTAATAATCTCCTCATGGACATGATGGAGCAAAAAAATATCCTAGAAACACACAACATATTAACCTATCAAAGAAGGAAAGCTTGTAAATGACCGAGCTGATATAATACATAACACATACTTGTTTGACACAAACCCACTACTAGGATAGAGTACTTGAAAAGGCTTCAGATATGTGATTATATTGCTCAACCAAAGTGAAATCGATAAACATTATAAAAACACATTGAGAAGGTGTCAGTGAAGCTGAGTCAGTACAGAGCAGTCAAAAGGAGTATGGTGGTTAAATATTATTCAACAGTGAAGGAATGGCACAAAAGTGACACATGGCTATTTGATCCCTTTTGTCCAATGGTTCGGACAACGTCTTTCCACACTTTATTTTTGAAACTGGTAACATAACATCTTCTTTCCACTTTTAAAACAGAGAGTATGCAAAATTGCTGAGTTTTGGTGAATGATTATGAAAGAAGATATCCTTTCCCAGGCACACTTACAGTCAGTTCCTCAAGAATTCTTGTACTTTCCCCTCATTCAGTAACTTCTTCATTTTCCATGTTCATCTACTTCACTTTACAATACCTCAGTGCCCGACAACATACCCATTGCAATCCCACAAATTGGATCTGGGGAGGGTGGCATGTACGCACCTTACCCCTACATTGTGAAGGTAGAGAGGTTGTTTCTGATAAACCTACGGCTCAAGTAAATAGTATCGAAAGACAAATGTGTAAAACAAATACAGTAGCGAAGAAGCTATGCTGAAAACAATAGAGAAGAGAACCATGTTGTAGCTTTGTCTTGTCCTTGTTTATAAATCAGAGTGTTTTTACACAAAATGTAGGTCCACACAGTATGAAAATGACACCAACAGAGAGAAAAGGGAATTTGTCAAGGGTGGTTGCCCAGTCAGTTTGGCATATGATTTTTCCTTTAACCAAACTAACAACCTCTTCAGATGTATTAGAACTGTTTTCTTGTTTTCTCTGAGCTTAGCAATGCCCCTACAAATCAAATCAGCAGAACTTCTCTGTACCTTAAACTTCAAAGTTAGTTTTAGTCTCAATTCTTGGAATCACAATTTAAGCCCACTACCCCTACTCGTGGGATTACGATGGGTCTGTTGTTGTTGTACAATTAAAGCCCATCAAAACTCATGCATGACTTAGGCTTACAATCAAAATTTCAGCAATCTCTGAATGGATCCAGCATGCTATAGCTGGTTGTCAAATTATTGTGCGTTCTGTACAAGTTCTCTCCTCGCAACCGTGAGAGTAGTGACAGAGACATGCAGACTAGCTCCAAATTAGACCACAATTAGTGGATATACTCATAGGCCTGTGCTTTGAATTGCAGTAATGAACGGGGAGCAATGTGTGGATAAGAAGAAATTCACAGAAACACTCATTTGATTAAAAAAAATAAAAATTCATTTTTGTAGTTCATGTCACTAGAAGAGTTCACAAATCATACCAAGAAAAGGAAGATCCTACATACTAAGCTTGTGTCACATATCAAGGTGATGTTAGTCAACTTTTGAGTTCTAAACTCAAACAAATTTGCCTAGGTGTTAAGATGGTCTGTCACTTAAGCAAGAAGAGTCTTAACACCGTACAAACTCATAGGTGGTATAGGATTAGCAATTCTTCTTGACAAAATTGATATGTTCGGATAAAGGAAATCATACCTCGACTCTTAAACGGCAACCTAATTCAAATTGAGCTTCTGGGTCACCCATTTCTGCAGCTTCGACCAATAAAGCAGCTCCTCTGTCATTAAAAATAGGAAGAAATATTAGCTGTAAGTTTTAACATTGTGATTTATGAAGAAGTGCTGAACGTATTCCTCAATTTCCCTTTAATAACTCCATGAAAAAGAACTGAAGGTATCACTCAAGTCAAATAATTAACTCCCTCATCTCATAAGGAAATCAAGAAGTTAGATATCACATATCATGTAAGTAGTGATTGGCTAATCAGTTAGGGAACTTTTTAGAACCTCAATCATATACATGATAAGTTCAAGAATATAAACAGAAAAAGCTTGAAACTAATTAAGTGGAGCGTGAAGACCTATTTAAACTTGCTTAGAAGAATGTAATAATAGCATATGAACAATAATAAATGCCTACACTTTGTAGATGCCCAATCTTCAGACCAAATAGACAAAAACTTACACAGCTTTGCATGCCCCAGGGACATGGTACTTGAGATGAAGTTTTGAAAGCCAATATCTTGCATGCGTATTTGAGTTGTCTGCTTCTAGGGCCAACTCAAAGTTCTCCTTTGCTGTCTAACACATAAGAACCAATGGAAAAAATATTTGATAAGTTCAAAATCAACAAAAAAGAATATTAATGGATAAACTCTACCAAGAAATACATGCCTAAGTATTATTATAAAAGAAAACTAACATACAGACATTCAAAAGAAGTAGATTTAAGATTTAACAAAAGAAAGGCACTTCTTGGTAAATATTGATTGGCATAAGGGAGATGTAATCATGTGAGATGGAAAGAAGCAAACAAATTATGCAACAATGTTATTTTCATAAAAAAGTCTACTGTAAACAGAAATGCTATTGTAGTTTAGCTACCAAGCCAATAGTGGATGCTTCTTCTGTGGAATACCCTCAGTTCTTTAAAACAAAAAAAACTAACTGACATCCTCCGTTTTCAAACACAGAAGACGGCACAAAGCATAAGTTGGATGCTTGACAAAAGAATAGTCAGAGGGTCACCTCAAATGCAGCTATGTAGGGTGCTAAATTTACTCCTGAAAGAAAAATAAATCTACTTAAATTGAACCAACCAGCTCTCTTTACAACCATTAACATCAATAACCTCCATGACATATTCAAGAAACTGGAGAAAACCTAATGATCAATGAGCTACTTTGGGCATGTTGCTATATCTTCTAAATATATGTACAGCAAGGATAACACTCTATTCTAAGGACATAAATATGAAAATTGACAACAATGTCTCTGGGGTTAGTAGCAATTACTGACAGAGGTTAAACACACACACAGAGACACATTAATTTCCTTTGAAAGAACCATAAATAAAAGAAGATTAACTGTATTATGTTATTTTCTACTAAACATACCCTTAGTGGAGGAATGAGACGTTTGTCATTAAGCTCACAATAATCAATTACCCTATCAACTTCCTGCAGAGCATTCCACCCTCTAGCTATGAACTCCATTGCCTTCTTATTTCTGCTGTGCATTCCTCTCTATCAAGAAGCAAAAGTTAGCACTAAAAGAAACTAGAATGCATATCACTACTATCCCAGAATTGCAGAATCGGATTGTATCAGAATTGAAATTTTTACCTCTGAATGGAACTGGAAAGGATGACGACAAAGCTGTTTAGTGACATCTGGATGATAACTAAGCTGTTTAGACACGGCCTTTAGAAGGAATGATCTGAACATTATTTTCCTGCCTGCATTAAGAACCACAAGAATCTTGTCAGTGTCAAATCACTATAGTGGCCTTTTGGTCATTTTTTGATTCATAACACAACCACAAGGATCTTCACCACCATCAAGTCTTCGGAGAAAATACTAAAGCTTAAAAGAACAGTATCTCCATCTAGTGAGGCACCCGACTATATTTAGAGTAGAACATGAATATTATAGATATAATATGTCATGGAAGAATATGGATATACATTAAAGGTCGGTAGATCTTTTTTTTTCATTGTTTGGGGGGATGAGTAGTTAAGAGCAGGAAAATGCTAGGATTCATTGATATTCAAACACAGGGAAAGATGACAAATTACAAAGTAACTTCACAAAGGGTTCCACATCCCAACATATACAAATGACCCCTCAAATGCTCCTTGTTTCTTCAGTTTTAGCAATGGCTTCCTATTACTATAGCATTATAGTAACAGACAACTGATGTATCAATGCAACTAAGGCACAACTAATGAAAGTCCATAAAACACTAAGCTAGCTTTTGGCCATAGAATTTGAATCAGATTTCCAAAAAATTATCTTCATTCATTTATTTGGCCATGAAATTTGATCAAACTCTGATTTTCAACACCACTTTTTGGGAGAAATTTCACTGTCACTCAAAAAAAAATCGAACTTCTTTCAAATATAATGTATGTCCAAACACAACTTCAAAAACTCAATTTTCAATTTTAAAATTCAAAATCTATGGCCAAAAGGGAGTTCTATTCATGCCAAGAAACAAATGGGTAACACCATAAACACCTCAATTCAACAAAATGAAAGAGGAAGAGATACCTAACTCTTGAGGGTCATTCAATTTGTAGAGAAATCGATAAGATTGTACATACCCAGAAAAAGAAAAAAAAAATCGACATGAAGATGAAGAAATCGATATTCCCAGTAGCCAAGCAGCAGCATAGAAGAAAACCCAATTCCATACACTAATTTTGGAATAATTTTGACGAAAAAATTGAACTTTTTTACCTTTCTTAGCAGCACCTGATGCTTCGTCAATGGCGATTAGGAACAAGAAGAAAAGACTCTATTTTTCGACTGCTAATTTTTTTTGAGTTTTCTATTTGAAATATGATATCATAGGTTTATAGGTAAAGCTCGTAAAAGGATGACATTTATAAATATTTTTTAGTTTATAGTTTGAGAATGAAGCTCGTAAAAGAATAACATTTTTTAACTTGTTTGGATGGTTGTTACATGCGTTTCATGTCGAATGATATTGTATTATTTTGAAGAATATAAATAGACTTCTATCATTTTTAGTTTAAGAGAAGTATTGGTAACACCCCTAAATTTGACACATGATAATAGCAAGTGAACTCTTATAAAAGCACGGAGCTCTTGATAAAAAATCGAGAGAAGTGTTAAAAACACCGCTAAATTTAGGAGTATATTTCATACATATTGCAAGATCAGGAGAAATGTGTGTTAATGGGTGTTTAAAGTTTGTCAATAACTCAAAAATGAAACTAATAATGGGAGTCAAGTTTTAGGAATGTAGTACTTCTCTCTTTTAGTTTTCATAATGGTATGTGATGAACAAAGTTGTGATATTGCAAAAAAGAAAGAAGGGTAATAAAGTGATATTATAAGAAAACATAGAGTAAAATAAGATTATGAAATAAAAAATAAGGTCATTGATGAAGGGCAAAGATAATAATATGATAACAACGCATTTAACGATACGAAATAATAAAATTAATATTGTGTTTAAAGTAATAATACCATACGAGACAACATTTAACCAGTAACAACACTCCAAATAAAAGACTGCTAGATAAACGGAGAAGGATAGAAGGGTGAACCCATTATACACCAAATATTGAACTGCACTTCACAGACTTGAAAATTTCTCAATCATCAAGGAAGAAAAAAGTGGAAAGTCATTACAATGTTGCATAGTTCATGAGGGGAACAAATTCACTCTTGGTCAGCATGAATGTTGCAAAAACTTATACAATCTGATGCACTTTCGAAACACTATCAAAACTTACAAATATTTACTTCACCCAAAACTATTCATTCAAAAACGAACTTTGAACAACTGAATTGATCTGAATCATTCATAAACTCCTATACGCCTTCAGCTAAGTCAGTGAGATGTAAAACTATGCTTGTTAACACGACGTATCTAATCTGTACGAAACAAATCAGTTTGCAGCTTGAATCTCCTGAGAACCAAATATGGCAGTATAACCATGCAAGCCATGAATAGAGTGAACTGCAAAACATAGAAGACAAGGCAATGCAGTTCAATCAGATTCAAGAAATGGTTAAAAAGTGGTAAACTCGCAAATGATGAGTCTTTTCTGCCTTTTGTAGGCCATTGTCATTTGATTCTTTCTTTTAATGAACGAGAAATTCCCGACAGCCAGTAACACACGATTCAAAACATTGTGGATAATGGGTCTGCCCCTCTACCCTTCTCTACTTAAATACTCCCTCCATCCCAATTTAAGTGTTTTACTTTCCTTTTTGGTCTGTCATAAAGAGAGTGCTTCTTTCTGGACTACAAAATTTGAAGGACTACATACCTCTTTAATTTAAGATCACAAGATTCAAAAGTCTTCCAATATTTCGTAAACTCCACGCCCAGTCAAACTAAGACACTTAAATTAGGACGGAGGGTAACAGACTTTTGTCTGCAGCAGGGTTCAAAACCACGGATGTGTGCTTAACCCACACATCACGCACTGCGTTCTTACTGCTAAACAAGCCCTTGGGGCAACGTCCTCGTTTGATTCTTTTACACGTTTCATTAGAAAACACAAGTTATTTCAAGCTGGTCAACTGTTTATTCATCAAACAATTGGAAATTGTTCTACAGGTGAATCAGAAACATAAAGGGACAGCAATAGTGGAAGGAAATAAATCACATTTAGCTAAACTCAGGACATACCACAAGTGGAAGGGTCAACAAGCTCCATATAGGCCACAGAGCACAACAGAACCTGAAACAAACAACTTGTACTTTAACAAAACAGTCTCATTTGATCTAGACTTTTGAATTGAAACTATATATGTATGTTATTATTTGAATGCACGTGTAATTCATGCAATCATAATGTCTCTTACAAGAGGAAAGATAGGATCCCAAGCCCAGTGATGTAGGGAAGGGCAGCTGTACTGGAAATCTCCCACTTCTCATAGGACTTCCGGACACCCAAAGCCAACATACTTGTGTGGATGAAAAATAAAACATTCAAACCAACACCAAACATCCCAATGTAAAGTGGTAATCTGCAGCAGAAATGTGAAGAATCAATGAAGGTACTTGATATCAAACAACAGAAAGCTACCACATCATGGCAAAAAACAGTTAAAGATACATTTGCTCGAAGCATTATAAGTAAAAAAGTCGAGAAGCTAGTAATTCCTGGATATCACATGCATGTTACTAACAGATTAACAGCTGCAGTTTGCTAACTTACAACACGCTTACATGAAAGAACTGTGTGGGAATGATGGAAAACAGATAGATGGAATGCACGCAAGTACAGACAGATTTGAAAATTTAGATATTTTGTATTTAACTAAGATATTTGGATGCTTTTGTATCTGTAATGATCCTCGAATAGTTGCTCTCCACCATATGAAAGATTTATATCGAAACGACATCTTTACCCAATAGGTTATGAACTATGTTTGATGGTAAACATTCAATCTTTCATCTCTTAACTTATCATGATTTAAAAATAGGCTATCAAAGGAGATGCGGAAGTGAAGTTTACACAGTCCAATAGGATCAGTGGATGAAGAAACTAATTAAGCACTAGTTGAGCTCTATATATGAATGAATCCAAAAGATCCAAACTACAAATGTGCCACATATTCCCTTGCATTCCTCCATTCCCTACACATATGTTATTTTATTTCTTTTATCCAGAGTAAAATTAAAAGTGAAGAGTGCAGGGAAGCTGGTGCACAAATCCAGGGGGCACGCAAGGTTCGGGAAAGGGCCGCACCCCAAAGTGAAGAAAAGTGAGCTTATTTCATTGATTACCATGGAGTATTTCAAATAACCTACAATTGATTGGACACCCTACACCTCTGATACAGTGTTTCTCATCTCTGGAAATGTTTCAGAGATTACTTCCTAGAATTCATGATTCAACTAAAGGAGAATTTTAGTATTCCCTCCATTTCATTTGTTTGTCTCACTTTCCTTTTTAGTTTGTTTCAAAAAGAATGCCTCTTTCCTTTTTTGGCAACTTTTTAATTCTAACTTCCAACATGACATGTTTAAGACCACAAGATTAAAGGGCACACTTTGGTACATTCTACATATCTTCAGTTTAAAGACCACAAAATTCACAAGTCTTCTTTACTTTCTAAAACTTCGTGGCAAGTCAAAACCAGACAAACAAATTGAAATAGAGGGAGTACTTAACAAAAGGTGCTTTGCCAACTCAGTGGGAGTGTCAAATGGAGCCAACCTGAGGACCCATATCAAGACAAAGAAGATGCAGAACAGATGAAAAAGATGACTAACAAGTAATGTGCTCCTAGACATTCCTGACATCTAATAATTTGAATGCTTCTAACAAAAAAACAAGTTACTTGAAGCACTAGAGTTGCTTATCATTTTCGCTATGCAATAGGATAAAAGCATTATAAACAAACATATCGATTCGGCCAAAGCAAAAGGTTGTTTGGAAATCTTTCAACTAATAACTCGAAGCAAATTTGACATGGTTTACTTATGCTAGTTTAAAACCAATCAGTCAAATTCAAGGAAACTATATGACAGTAACTACCTATCAAGCGCAGTAGCTAAAACATTAGCTACATCTATCCAATAATCTGAATTCTGATGTGAGCTAAAAACATCAAACAAGAGCAATCTACCAACTATTCGGGCAGTAGTATATTAGTAAACAACTAATCTACACTTTTTTTCACCTATCCTCCTGTGGTATTGAGATATAGTTATTGATAACCTATCATGCCAAGTTTATTTAACCATCCCTCTCTTTGTTTTCCCTTTCTTCACTTTAGGTGGGAAAACAGTCATGCAATATATAGAATATCAAATATGTTGCTTTAAAGTAATAAGTCAAAAGTATAAATTGAACAAGTAGGCTCACCTCCTAATTCGATCATCATGCCACAAAAGGAAAATCAAATTATGATGCCGATCACCATAGTATACAATGAATATTGCAGAAGCAATCCAAAGAAAATTCTCTAAAATCTCAGTCCATGTTCTTGTCCTGGGAATTGAATGTGATTGTGATACAAATCTAGAACAAGCATCATCCTCAAGATCATCGCCACTCGAACCATATCCTTGACTAAGCCTCTGCCTCACATATCTACCGCTACCAGCAGGTGTTCCACCAGACATATTAACAAAATTGTTCTAAAGCAAAAAAATCAACAAATTTATGTATACAACTCCTTTCTAACTCCTTGAAGCCAATCTAGCGGAAACCAACCAACCAAACATGTCAGCAACAACCAACCAAAGATTCCAAATTCTCTAAAAACTCCTAACAAATATCCAAACCCCAATTCACTTGTAAAAAGAATCAAACAATGCAAACTATCTAACAACAAAAAGTAACTGTGTCTCTTCAGTTACCAAATTGCAGCTCATTCACCTGGCACCCTACATGCCCAGTTGAATCAAAAACTCAACTATATCATCCAATCTGTAAAACCCATATCAAAAAACTCAAAATTCTCACAACCCATATAAAAAAACTCAAAATTCTAACAAACCCATATAAAAAAAATAATCAAAATTCTCTAAAACCCCATCATGAAACTCAAAATACTCACAACCCCAAATCAAAGATCACAACTTTCTGACAACCCAATTCAGGAATACCCAAAACTACTACAATAAATCAAGAACCCACATCAATGGCCTCAAAATTTCGACCCAGCAAAAAAAAAAGTAGAATTCTCGAATACCCAAAACGTAAAACTTCAGTTTTTTTTCAGATTAGAGTTATCAATGAAGAATTCAATACAGATAAGCACAACAGCAACGGTTAAACACAACAAGTGTTGCTAATAATGACAACAAAAAAGGCCATGAATGGTTTTTTAGAGCTTTTTTTGCTTTTTTTAGAGAGAGATCTGTGCATATAAACTGATGAGTATTGAAGAAAAAAATTGACAGTTGGTAATGCCAGATTCGTTTCTTGAATTGTACCTTTAGGTATGAAGTATTGATTAAAACCTTAATCTTCGTTATATGTGGAGTAAATGTTTTTATTTTTTCAATTTTGATTTAGTATATTGTTTTGTGCATGAAATATCAAAAATTACTTTTAGGTATATGAGAATGAGATGGTTCGGATATATAAAGAAGAGACCAACAAAATTGAAAGACGTGTGAGAATTGACTATAATAGGTCTTAAGAGAGGTAGAGGGAAGTCAAAGAATTATTTGAGTATTAAAGATACATATGATATATTTGCAGTTTATCGAGGATATAACTCTTAGGAGTCATTTGGTGTGAAGGATAGGTACTTCTGAGATTATTTATCTCATCATTTATGTCTTAGTGATGAGATAAGTTATAAGTATCTCATATATATGGTGAAAAAAATCATTCCAAATAACTTATCTCGGGATAACTTATTCCCAACCAAGCGACCCCTTAGATTGGAGAATATGGATTATCCCGAATAATTTGTTCCTAACCAAGTTGCCCCTTAGATTAGAGAATATGGAGTAGGAGTGGCTCAACTCTAAAACCACTAACAAGAGAGAGTTCACTTCCAACCTGAAGATAATGACTTTAGACCCTCGAAATTATTATTATTATTATTACTATTACTAGAGTTTTGCTATCATATTTTTCAATTCTATTTTACCTATTATTTTCTTTTCAAATTTATTTTAATATACTTCAATTGAACCAAAAGTGTTTACTAGATATATTGTCATTATTGTCCTCGTAGTCAATATTGGGTATGCAACGGATACACCTAATTATAAGCATTATACCTAATTGTGTGCATCCTAAGAAAGATACCTCCATTTTATAAAATAAATAAATAAAATGAACATCTTGAGATTAACTTAAAATTCAATATATTGTGTGGCTACTCCTAACTGAAACTAACCTTATGAATTATGATATAAATAACATAAACAAATTTTGTTACACTATCATGAGACATGTATTTAGATAAATATAGTAATATACCGCAATATGATCCCTCCATTTTTAATCAGAGTCTCAAATTCGAGTCTCGATATGGAGAAAATCTTGATAAGCTAATATATACCGCCTAAAGTTGCGATAGGTTGGATATGATTCCTTCGCTCTTAATCAGAGTTTCGATATGGAAAAAATCTTGATATGGAGTGTTCCCCTTTACCCTTGAATGTGTCTAACGTATTATAAATTTAAATTTAATTGAGATTTCAATATGAATACTGAATACCGAATAGAAAAAAAAAGATATAGTAATATATTTGGGTGAAGACAAGAGTGAAAATATTAAAATAGTAGGACCGTATTGCCTTTTGTGCCATGGCAATTAGTAATGTCCAAAGTGAGCATGCTTTGCTTGCCCACAACTCCACTCCTTTTATTACTTTTTAAAATGTCTACTTGAGCCAACAAAAACCACATCCCCACAAATATTATCTTAATTTAAAAGATTATTGTTAAACAAAGCTTGAATACATAAAATTCTTTGTATACTTGGATAAAAATAATGATAATAACTACAAATGGGTATAAGTTAAATAGTTTTTTTTAAGTGGAGTTCATGTTGATGAAGCTTCTCTTATTAGTGGTTTATTAGTCTTGTCAAAAATTGTTATCTTATTTATTGTGATCAAAGTGTTTGGTTTATCTCTTATTAATAAGCCTTAATGAATGATGAATTTGGTTAAAGACAGACTAAAGAAACCTAATTAATAATTTAAAATGCACACTCAACTCTTCACAGCCACAAATAAGAGGTTGCTTTCTACATGTTTTGATGATTTGAACTACAAAAACTTTACTTGAAAACAGAAACTTTGAAAATATTTCTTCTCAACAAATCAAGACTTTAAATTGTTTTTAGTTGCAAATGTATAAATGAAGTAGGTTTCCAAGAAATGTAGGCAAGATGACGACGACAACAACAGCATACCCAATATAATAAAAAAAAAGTGTACAAGTGAAATCTGGAGAGGTTAAGATGTACATAGACCTTGCTTAAAGGAGGACAAGAAAATAACAAGTGTATACACAAGAACCTAGAGTTTCTCCAAATGATGGAATAAATCCAACAAACAATTTACTTTAAAAAATTGAATCCACAATGATTTAGCTTATGAGCTATTGGATGTATGATATTCTCAGCTACATAATTTGTACAGACAAAAATTCTTCGAAGAAACAAAAAAAAAAACTACAAATACAAGTACAGAATGTTAGATACAATTCAATGGCCTGCAGTACTACTAACGCTAACCATATCCATTAAGGTTGAGTATAGCACTTCTAAAGATAAATAACCTAAAAATTTCCTTGTTTCGGATTCACCACTGTTAACGTCCATTTGAAGTTTGTTTTCTTCAGAGAATCCATCGCCCATCACCAACCACCAGGAAATACATCCTTGAATATCTTCAGGGTCTACGTGTGCCACAAGACTGAGTGTTTCCCCTTGCTCTAGCTCAAATGACAAGGATAAGAAATCCCGGTTTGCTTTGATACCAACCATAAGGGCTTCTTCATGAAGCCACCGTATCACTTGGCTGGCAACCTGTAGCAGAAATTGATAGCTTGAAATAAGGACATATTGATGACCATGTTGCTGCAAGATGGAAATGGCATTGCTTTCCAACGTAGATTGTATACTGATTTGTTAATCAAAAGGAAAGGTACAAATGTGACGCTTTTGCTTTTCCCTTTTTGTGATATCTGAGAAAATGGAGCTCAGGACTTTGAGATTCCCTATGATGGTGGGCCATTATTCCCTTGTCTCCCCATCCCCCGGGGCAAACTGGTAAAAGGTTTGAAAAGGATAATAGGTTTGCCCCTCTATACAACCCCAATTAAATGTCAGGCTTTTGTCTGCGACAAGGTTCAAACTCGTGACAGACGCCTAACTAAAGTCCGTGGTTGGAGGTGGGTGAGGGGTGGGGTTTTACATTTCTGGTGTTTCTATGGTAACAAAACAACATTCTCCCTCACCATCATGACCATAGCTATCCACCAGAAGTTTGGCCCCTGACCACAAGATAAAAAATTATCCTAGGCAGCAACACAAACAGTTTGAAAACCTTTGTCGCTATCACCCTCTATGTGCTACTCGTGTCACATAAATCACTCCAAGCAATACAACAGAAAAAGACTCAAAGAGCTCGGATGGTTCAACTGAATCACAGGAAAAATAAAAAATGTCTAGGATCATAGGCTTTCTTTAAGGAAGGACCAGTTCTAGGATGAATAGAAGTTTATCCAGCCAGAAAATGAACTATTCTTCATAGCATGTCACACTTTCTGATATCAAAACACAATAGTAAAGAGGAGAAGGTGGAGGAGACAGACCTGCTGCAATAGTACCATTGGAAGATCTGACAAGTCACAGTCATATCTGTTCATAGGGCAAGTACTATCAGGCTTTCCTTTGAAGAGGCCAACAACATTAGGAGCACCTTCCCCTTCCAGACTGATGCAATCATCACGCACCATGACTTTTGTACGAAAGTGAAATTTCACATTCTTTACATAGTCAGATGAGTGAGACAGGCTTCCTGCATGGAGAATTGACTCAGGTACATCCATGGAGAGCGTCCATGATGATGTTCGAGAATGCCAAGTGGGATGCGATATCAATTGGACATATGGTATCCTGCTAACCTACAGACAAAACAAGAAATTCTTCAGATACATAATGGTTACATTGCCAAGCAGTTTACAAACCCAAACAGAAAAGTTCATACCAGACTTTCAAGCTCAGCAAGGACTTTGTTTGAGAAGATCCTATGAGCTAGAGAGATGCAGAAATGTCCCAAAAGGTTGGGACCATCTTTCATGGGCTGAGAAGATAATTGAGGTTTACCCAAAGATGATAATCTATTTTTGGCTTTTATAAACACATGTTCATGAAAAAGTTGTTGCAAATAAATTTCAAAACTAATTCGATTGGGAAACCCCAACTTTTTGAAGTCAAGTTTCCCTTCATCTAGTTTTGAAGCATCAACTGATTCAAAAGGCACAATAGCAGTTTCTGAATGTTCATCACCCACAGCATTAGCTGTCTGACCATCATCAGTAGATGGTACAAGTGAAATGGACAGAGAAGCTCTTTGACCTATACTTAAACGTAACAAGTTTTCTTGTATTCCTGTCACGTCGGCACCCAAAGCTGGATTAAATGCTTCACGATTAACCAAATCAAACACCTGCAACAAGGACCAAATAAATAATCAGAAAACAGAAGTAGGTCACAAAAAATGAATAAGAAAAACTCAAAGGGTACTAGAAAGAGAAAGGAGGGAACCTAGAAATATACCTGCTCATCAAAGATTGCTCGATGAACTTCACGGAGTGTTGAATGAGTTTCTCTCACATGCTCATCATCACTTTTTTCTCTCTTAGTTTCTCCAGAAGAATCCTCAAAAGAGCCCTTTGGTTTCAGTCTGCTATGTTTTATGACACCACTAGGTGCACTTGCACAGAGAAACTCAAATTGAAGAGTCCGGCAGGATTTTGGCGGCAAATTCACAGCCAGCATCCCAGCTGGGTCATGCTCAATACGCACCACAGATGCAGAAGATGGGCGAAATGCAACCGCTGGATCATATAATGAAGTGTCAAATAAATCAATGTAAAACCCTTCATTTCCAGAAGCAGCAGCAACCATCCGATGCCATTTAACCTTCCAATTTTGCTGCAATCTATCAGCTCATCAAGAAATAGCCAAAAACTTTGAGGAAAGGCACAAAGACATGGTAGTCTAAATGACTGAACACATATGTTCCACAATGTACTAATACTGTTAGTAGCCACAAAGAACAAACCTGATAAGAGCACCATAAAATCTTGCTTCTCTAGCCACTTGTTGTTCCAAAGCTTTGGCAGATTGCTTAAAATATTTCCCCAAATGCTGCAAAAGAAAAGC